AAGGAAGTCACCTACAATCCACGCTACGATGAGATGTATGCGCCAGTTCAGGGCCCAGAGCATCCAGATTTGACCATGCAGCAACGGGCGCCGCGCAACACGCTTGCTGGCTATGTGGAGAAGGCACACATTAATGCATTTGAATTTGAGAATCAGCGACGCACGTTCCACACCTATGGCTACGCCTTAGATCCCACAGTGGATGAGGCTGCCGATGGACAGTCCTACGTGGGTGACTTGCAATCCGCATATGATGACAATGGCAAAACGGTATTTGAGGCGCCCAAGCCAAAAAAAATGCGCAAACAAGAGAAAAATGATAATCCAGAAGATGTGGAGGGTTTCCTGGGGCCATGGGGCAAGTTCGAGAATGAGGTAAGCGTTGCCAAGCCAAATGAACAAGAACGCGCCGAGTTGGATGAGCTGCTCTCCAAGCGGCACAAACGCGGACGCATACCCGAGGACAAGCCGCTCGAAGAAAAGTCCACGTTGCACAGTGAGTTAGCCGGCAATAGCTGCATATATTTATTTATTTGAATAAGTCGGAGTTCTTTTTGAATGGGTAACATCTTTTTAAATGATATATTAATATTTTTCTTGTATTTGTATTGCAGTCAAGGATGCTTACGATTACCAGGGACGCTCATACCTACACGCACCACACGATCTGGGCGTCAATTTGCGCTCGAATGCGCCGCCGCCAAAATGCTTTCTGCCCAAGGCACACATACACACCTGGACGGGTCACAACAAAGGCATCTCGTCTATACGCTGGTTTCCTAAGACGGCGCATTTGCTACTCTCCGGCTCCATGGATTGTCGTGTCAAGCTGTGGGAGGTTTATGGCGATCGACGTTGCGTGCGTACGTTCTCAGGCCATCGGCAGGCCATTAAAGATATTGCGTGGAACAACAAGGGCTCACATTTTCTGTCTGCCTCGTATGATCGCTATATAAAACTATGGGATGCGGAGACGGGCGATGTCGTCTCGCGCTTTACTACACGCAAAATGCCCTTCTGCGTTAAGTTTCATCCGGACAACAGCAAGCAGCATCTCTTTGTGGCCGGCACCTCTGACAAAAAGATCATTTGCGTAAGTTAAGCCGTTGCTCATCAAAGTTATTGTAATAAAGTTTAACCTATTCCACAGTGGGACACGCGAAGTGGCGATATTGTGCAGGAATATGATCGTCATTTGGGCTCTGTCAGCACAATTACCTTTGTGGATGATAATCGTAGATTTGTGACTACCTCAGATGACAAATCCATGCGCATCTGGGAATGGGACATACCCGTGGACATGAAGTACATTGCTGATCCTACGATGCATTCCATGCCTGCAGTCACGCTGGCGCCCAATGGGAAATGGATGGCCTGTCAATCGTTGGACAACAAAATCGTGATATTCTCCGCCTTGAATCGCTTCAAAATGAATCGCAAGAAGACCTTCACTGGACACATGGTCTCTGGTTATGCCTGCCAGCTAGACTTTTCGCCGGACATGAGCTACTTGGTGTCGGGCGATGGCGATGGGAAGTGCTATATATGGGACTGGAAGACGACGAAAATGTACAAGAAATGGCAGGCGCACGACGGCGTCTGCATCAGTGCACTATGGCATCCGCATGAGGCCAGCAAACTAGTTACTGCCGGCTGGGATGGTCAGCTGAAATATTGGGATTAAAGTAGACAACTAGCTAGTTCAGTTGTAAGCTCAAGTGTAACATATTAATTGACTAAATGAGAAGACCACAAAGTTTACCTCTAAAAAATTTGGCTTTGTTTACATTTTGCAGGCAGCTGATAAGAGAGCGCATGCGCAGTGCTTGCCAAACTGTACAATATGGCGCTGGCGCCTGCAAACAAAAATTCATAGCCCACCCTCAGGGCGCAAAACATATGCGATTGCCAGCCAAAATCAATACTTTTTCACAACAGCAAGCAAGCAGCGCAGAAATTGTTTAAAAAAAAAGAAACAATTGCAATAAATAAATAAAATAAATCGATGCAACAAGGCGCTGGCGCAACTGCATAAAGAAAGATATTTACGGTTTTTGCGCCATTGAAAAAATGCATATATTGTGAATTTAAGGCTTAAGTAAGCAAACCAGCAGCAGAGAAAACACTTGCAATTAATAGTTCCACAGCGCTGCTGCCATGGCCAAGCCGCCCGCAGATACCTCCGGCTTGGGCTATGCCTATCATCTGCCATCCGGTGGCCTTTTGCTGCGCCTCAAAAACTCCCTGTCACAGTTCAGCGACCTATTCAGCGAGTTCAACAAATACATTTCACCTGCCTTTTTTCACGATCGCTGCGAGCGATCCGTCCACATGCGCATGTATTCCATGCACAAGCGTGAATTTGTTATGGTCTTTCTCGGCTTCTTCACCTGCTTCGGCCTGGGCATTATAATTGGCCTGACTGGTCCGCCAATAACAACCACAGACGCGGTGACGGCACAGCAGATCCTGGCCAATACAACGCTGGCGCATAGCAAAACGGTGCTGGCCACGGGCCCCTTTGCCATGAAGTCCCCGCTGATGACGACCTACTCCCAACAGATGTGGCTCATAGCCAAGCTGGTCACCGATAACAATGATGGTAAGTGTTGAGCCCCCATTGTCCTTTCATAAGTTGGGCGACATTCAGTCTATGCTCCTGTTTAGATGAGCGCTATGACAAGAGTTTCCAAATCAGCGTCTCCATCGATGGCATCAACGAGCAGCACAAGCCACTGAGTGTCTTGGGCCGCAGCGCGGCCCATAATCGCACAAGGCATTTGCTGTGTGTGCGCAACGACTGCGAGGAGTTCACAGTCATGCATTTGGGCTTTCTGGACTATGCCCACTATATCATCACAGTACGTTTCCTAGGGCTAGAGTCGTTCCATCAGAAATATAACATCAGGGCCATCACGTTCTATGTGAGTAGCAGCTACCTATCTATATACCCTTCAAGTAGAGGTGGGCTCGTGTCTGATTTGTCTAACACGAACACGAACTACAAGTAGAACACGCGCACCTTTTTTTCACAATAATTATTATTTTATTATTTCTGTAATTACTTTTGCTCGTGCTTTTATGTTTTTTGGCACTCTTTGCATCATGCAATGTCGTGTCAACACAGACACTCACGAATTCTTAAGCACGAACACGAATGGGGTCGTGCGTGTTCGTGTCATGACAAACAATCACGATACACGCCTTTCTGTACTTGCAAGTCAAACCCACTAACTGATTTCTTTTAGTTCAAGACATATAGCCCGGAGTTTACACAGATTGAGATCTGGTTCAGATTCATCTTTCTGCTCTTCACGTTCATCGTCATAGTAAGTAAAAGGACATGCATACATGTCCTCTGTTCACTCTGTAAACTCTGTTCACATAGATTCTCATTCCTTTCTCTTCAATCAGTGCTGGTATGCACACACACTGCGCAAGTATCCTGTCTACGACTGGTCCATTGAACAGAAATGGATATCCGTTCTGCTGCCACTGCTGCTGCTCTACGACAGTGGGTATTACCTTAATCCGTCATTGAGATACTTTCAATTGTGCAATTTTCATAGATCCATTCTTTCCGCTGATCTTTCTGATGAACTCCTGGCTGCCGGGCATGCTGGATGCCGTTCTACAGGCCACATTCCTGTGCGCCCTGCTCATGTTCTGGCTGTGCATCTACCACGGCCTGCGGCAGAATGAACGACGCTTTGTTAGCTTCTATATGATCAAGATTATCGTGGTGCTGCCCATTTGGCTGTGCGCCATTGTCCTGGCCACATGGGAGAAATGCAACGAGCTGCGAGATCCCACATACAGCCACTTTGTGGACACCAAGAACTACAATGTGAGTGCGGCCGAGTAACTATTAGGGTCTCAGATTAATCTTCGTCTACTTCGTAGGGCCTCAAGATGTTCTTCTACATTGCCTGCTGCATGTATGTGGTTTATCTGGGGCTGCTCCTGCTGCGCGCCTATACTGAACTGCGCTCCATGCCCTACTTTGGTAAGCTCCCAGCTTTTCTGAGCATAATGTATTTCGAAATTAAAAATTATGCTGCTCCTCCAGACATACGGCTAAAGTTTCTCACGCTGCTGATGCTCTTTGTGCTGTCCGTTTCGATAACGGTCACCACTTGCCGATTCGGCTTCGGCATACTGGAGGATAACTTTGTGGCCACACTGAACACCACCTACCGCAGCTCGGCTCAGTTTATGTGCTTTTACGGGCTGTTGAATTTCTATTTGTATACAATGGCGTATGTGTATTCGCCGGATGGACGCTTTGCCCAGGCCGAATTGGCCGTTACCAAAGATAATCCGGCCATTTCCATGATTGACGATTCTGATGAGGATGTCGTCTATGGCTCCGATGAGGAGTCAAGGCGTCCACTCACCTCCATCGGTGGCGCGGGTAAAAATGACTACGACAGCGATTAACATCGACCGATTAACGGTTGGGCGTATCATATATTAAACGTTAATGTTCCATAGCATGCGATCCAAACAGCGCTACATTATTGTACAAATTACTAATCCTACAGGTATAGCATTCAGCCAAGCGTTTTCAATTCCCTTAACTAAATTTGAAGTAAAATTAATTGATAATTAGCTTTTTGTTTTATACATATACACGGATCGTCGGTTTGTGCAGCAGTTGTTATCCTTATAGAAATTGATAAGATTTGCGATAGGATGTCAAGATACATATATGTTAAACCCAAAGCTCCTGTCTGGTAAAACAAAATCTTCATAAAATAAAACTGTGTTCGAGCGGCGACATGATAGTGTTCTGTTCCGACTGATACAGACATTCATGTGACATATAGAGGACATTGTATCGACTGGAAATTAATATACTTTCTAAAAGAGTATCAATAAAGGCATTGCGTATATCCGTCACTTATATAAGTATATTCTAAATGACGATTGGTCCCATTTTCCATCCAAAGGCATTTCGAATTGAGAGAATTAATGAAAATTATAAAACAGGCAGAACATTGTAAGCGAAAAGATTACCGTTATTTTACTAGATTGTTTATTACATAATTAACACATTTCGCCAATTGAACTCCATGCTCATGGGTGGCCGCCTAGAAGACCTCGTTGATGCCCATTTTACTCTTGGTCAACAAGCCACTGTCACCCACATCCGCATTGTAGCCGGGGCGGTACTTCATGCCAGGCGCCTAGTTAAAGTAAAATAGTTATAGTTATTAGATTGAATCCTAAGGGAGCGGAGTCAACAATTGGACTCACATTGAACCAGACATCACGCCAGACTTTGCTGTCATCGGCACTGCGCAACAGCTCGGGCACATCGAAACGTGGCACATTAAAGTAGTTCATCAGATCGGACTTCTCGTTGCAGTACTTGATGCGTGCCTCGCACCACTCGCTCTCGAGAGGGAAACGCCAGTCCAACATTTTCTTGTTGTGCGGATCCGACTCGTGCTGCAGAAAATCAATGCGTTCGATATCTTCGACCACTACCTCGGTTTCGCCACCGGCTGACCAATCGTAGATTAGCAGCTCCGCATGTCCAGCGATATCCTTAAGATACTGCTGCTTGTACAGAGCCTCTAGATCGCGCAAATACGCCTCGGTAAACACTTTGGATTTCACCTCATACTCCAAATTGCGGGCCTTAATTTGCTTCTGAACAGCATCCACGGGCAAATCCAGGTAGATGACCAAATGTGGCTTGAGCAGCTCGCCGATGGTGTTCTGGCGCAGATCGTTGTAGACGGAACGTGCACCGCGTGATATATAGCCCTGGCGGAACATAGCCTCCATGAAGACAAAGTCCGAGTAGGGACTGCGCTCTAGTACGACGCCCTGGCCAGTCGAAAAGATGTGCTGCAGGGCATCGATGTACTGCGAAACGCGCAGCATGTACATACGTATCTGGAATAGGGCGGCCAGCTCATGATTGGGATCCCTGCAGAAGTCCTTAACGTCATAACTGCGGCAGCTGGGCGGCAACTGCGGATCCAGTTTACGCATATCATAGCCATAGGGATTAATATAGATCAGATCTAAGTCGACGGCCGGAAAGTATTGCATATCCAGTTCCGTGGCAAGCTCCTGGGCGAACTTAGTTTTGCCCGAAGCTATTGGACCCTCGACGCAGATAACTTTTGAGTTCTCGTCGAAGCGCTTGGAGGTCTTGTCGAAGAAGGCGCTTATGACGTTGTACTTCTTCGTCTTATATGGGTACGGCGGCACCTTAGGACAGCGTGGACCACCCCGCATCGTTCTGCCGGAGATATTGCACTTCTGCATGAAGGCGGTGGGCAATGCATTCGCCTGGGCCTGCAGCAGTGTGCCAGGCGCGGTTGCGCCACGGCTAACCAGCCGCACGAGGCCTACACGAAACACGGCAGTCATGCTGTAATAGTAAAAGGCCCGAAATCAGTTTCAATCTAAACTATCTTAATTGTAAATTTGTTGGCATTTTGTGGTGTCTGTTGTTACATCACACGAGCTTTAAAATACACTTTTGCAATTTGCATTTGCATCTGCCGATTAACCTGGTTTTTGCATTCCATTAGCATAAAAGTAGTCGCAATACAGATACAGCTACAGAAAATCATAACTTTTTTCAAATTCCCGTATTACCTACTCACTTTAAAAGCAAAAATCTAAAATCTATCCAATAACAATATCGGCCTATGCGGTTGGTGTTGATAAACGACAAACTTTATAGAGTCGTTCAACACTTGTACTGTGCTAACAGGGCTACTAAGTTTTCTGTTGAATAAAAATTTGCGTTAAAAAAAGTAGTGTGTATGTTATGTGGCAAACCCTTGTATTTATTGTCAACTAAAATAAAAATTTATTTAATTCAATTTAGACACCCTGGTCACCCAGCAAGTTCGGCTAAATATTTTGTAATTTTCAGATGCTGTGACAGCCCTGTCGTAACCTCGCTGCATTTCAAGAATTCTGTTCGCAACTGAGGCCCACAATGAGTTCAAGAAACATCAATTAAAATTGCACGCAAATTTGTACTTTATCAACGCAACATTTTGTAAAGCATCTGAATCAAAAATACACGTAAGTTACACTATTTCCAATTTCCTGTGTTGACCACAAATGCAATTGGGCACAGTTACGCAACTTGAAAACTACAAAATTTTACTCGTGACACAGTTTTTATCCTTATTCTAGCAATAATTATTTGGAAAATGGGCAATTCAGCGCTATCCAAGGTCCAAATGGAGGCTGCCAAAAGCATGCCAGCTGGTGGGTCGCCGCCACCGGAATGTCCAATGCACCAGAAGAATGGCGGCAATCAATCGGCCTCAGCTGTGCCACCACATCCCAAAATGCACGCCTCCGAATGTCCCGTTCAGCATGACAACAGTGATGTCAATCCGTTGAACATGATGCCACCAGCCAACCAAAAGCCGTCACCAGATCAACCCTTTCCACTGCCCACAGATCGCCAGACATCAACCATACCGAAGGCGACCGAGGACGGCACCGTACAATTCTGGCAATATCCAAGCCAGCAAATGTTTTGGAACGCCATGTTGCGTAAGGGTTGGCGTTGGAAGACCGAGGATGTCACCCAGAAAGATATGGGCGATATAATACGTATACACAACGCCAACAATGAGCAGGCCTGGCAGGAAGTGCTTAAATGGGAGGCGCTACACGCAAAAGAGTGCGGCAATCCACGCTTGAAGAGCTTTGGCGGCAAGGCCAAGGATTTTAGTCCACGTGCACGCTTTCGTAGCTGGCTTGGGTAAGCATTTAGCCAGTCCGGCTGCCATATCAAATATCAACTACTGATTCCATATATACAGGTATGAGCTGCCTTTTGATCGCCATGACTGGATTGTGGACCGTTGCGGCAAGGATGTTCGCTATGTCATTGACTACTACGATGGGGGCCTGGTTGATAAAGATTATCGCTTTGCTTTGTTGGACGTGCGCCCAGCCATGGATTCAGTTGATAATGTTTGGGATCGTATGCGCGTGGCATACATGCGATGGAAATACGAATTAGCGGAAAAGTTCCGAAGCAACGACAAAAGCAAAGTATCTGCTGGTAGCGAGTAGGACATTTTCTAGAACTGTACAAAATTTATCTAAGTTATTATCGAGCCCAAAGCATTATGTTATACACTTTAGGCTGCACTATTAAAGTTGGGTGTTGCTATTTAACAACAAGAATCTATTTATTTTAAACCAAAAATAAATCTCGTTTCATTTTATTCAATTTGGCCGAGAGCATGGAAAATTTGTTACAATTTTACAATTGCTGCATATTCCTAGCTACATATGTTATTGATAAATAAAAAGAATGTTAAAAAGCCTTGTTCTGTTATTCTGTTGTTAAAAGAATACAGCTCAAGAAGTCTGCTGTTCACATTTTTTTGAAAATTTATAAGAGTTTGTATTTTCGTATTTGGCTCACGAAATATGTATTGCTTCGTGCACGACATGCGATCATCTCTAACGCAGTCCCCATGGAGAAAAATTCCATTCAAAGAATGTCAAACTGTCATTTAACCAGTGCTGGATAATATGCATTCGCTATTCGTGGTTTTACGTCACGTAACAAAATTCTTAACGAGTGGAGCTGGCCCCTGATCCATCGAACAGTTTTAAATGTTGGCTGCCAGAATGCGTTTCGTGCAATATTTGCGTAAGGGTGACCTCGCCAAGCGTCTTGGTCTGCTTGCCGACGATCAAAAGTCGCTTGTTGAGTTGTCCGGAGCGGAGGGTGTGCCCTGCGATTTGAAGACTTTGATTGCACAAAATCCCAATCTCGACGAGCTTGCGCAAAAGGCTCAAAGTCAGCCGAAGCTTACCTTGAACGATGACGTCACACTGCTGCCTCCACTCACCGAACCGGGCAAAATAATTTGCATTGGTCTCAACTACCAAGATCACTGTGATGAGCAGAACAAGCCGGCGCCAAAGGAGCCCATGTTTTTCAGCAAGTACAACAACACATTGGTGGGGCCAACGGATAATGTGATAGCCCACACTGCGAGTGACGTATGTGCCAAGAGCAGATATGTAAGATACGTAGACACAAATTACAGCCCATTCCGTTTATTTATCAGAAAATCGACTGGGAAGTGGAACTGGTGGTCGTCATTGGCAAGGTCGCCCGTCAAGTGCCTAAGGAGAAGGCGTTCGACTATGTGTTCGGCTACAGCGTTGCTCAGGACATTTCGGCACGTGACTGGCAAAAGGAACGCAACGGTGGCCAATTCCTTCTGGGCAAATCTATGGACACCTTCTGCCCGCTGGGCCCTGCCGTGGTGCACAAGAGCCTGGTCAAGAATGTGTACGATTTGCCGCTGAAAACGTGGATCAATGGTGTGGAGAAGCAAAACGGCAATACGGGCAATATGATCTACAAAATCGATGATGTCATTAATCGACTAACCCAGTGAGTAGCAAGAAAGCAATGATCAAATAATGGCTAATCGTGACTTGGATATTATCAGATCCATTACGCTGCTGCCTGGCGACATCATTTTGACTGGCACACCAAAAGGCGTGGGAATGCACCGCAGTCCGCCAGAGTATCTGAAACCAGGAGATGTCATCAAGACAGAGATTGTTGGTCTGGGTACGATGTCTAACCCAGTGGTTGCCCCTTGCATAGCAAACTAATTGTTCCAAATGTTATTATGTTAACCAAATAATCGCTGTGCATGTTATTATATTTTTATGAATTACACTTTGAATGTTTTCGATTTGGTCGCAAAGTATTCATCGCGCTTGTGATAGGGCGCATACGGATCATCGATATAATGTTTGGGCCGACGCCAGTAGCTAGTTACCATTTTGTCCAACAGCCAACTTTGTGTGGCATTTGTAAATACATGTTGTCGCAGACGACGGCGCAGTTCAGCGGACTTTTTGAAGAGTTTCTTTTGACGGCCAGAGTGTGTTCTGATCCATGCGCCCCAGTCCAGGCGTTTGAAACGCTTTAGCACCGCCTTCACAGACTTGCGTTTGCCCTTGATGAGCGAGAATTTGGTGACGCTGCGAGCAGGCACTGCGGCTGGCACAGGTGCCTGTAACAGCGTCGGCGTTGACGTTAGGCTGCTGGCGGGAAGTAGATTCGGCTTGCGCTGCGCTGGAGCGGACGCAGCAATCAAGTGTCCAAAGCATGCACGTTGGGTGTGCTGCAGCGCGTACGCCGGCTGAACGCGGCAGACACTGCGTAGCGCTGTTAACCAAATAATTCGGCATACAAATAACTGATATATATTGATTTAAACAAGTATGTAGCTTACCACCAGCGACTAGTGTACGCAGCATTTTAAGTTGTTTAATTGATCTGAATAATGTCCAAAATATTTGGTACACAGTCGCGTAACAGCCTTTAGCTAGTCAGCTGTTTGACAGTTACATTTGCCATTCACATTGGCAATCGACGGTGTGCGCACATTTTAAAACAACGTTTTTTACACTTCATATACATTCAATTTTTATTTGTAGTTGTAAATAGTATAAAATTGAGTCAAATTAATGTTAGAAATTTATGTTGATTTAATACTTTATACACGCTTCAATTGCGACCCATTACTGCACGAATGGAAAAAGCTGGCAGCAATCGGTTGCCATTCTTCTGTAAACGTGCGCACAACGTCGACGGCCAGCGAGTCAGCCAGTATTTGTCGTTGGAGAGAAATTGGGCAGGAAAATTATTCTCGCCGCCGGTTAGAGTCTGCAGCAGACACTATCAAATTAAATTAACGAAATTCTGTGGCATCATGTATCGGCTAGCAGTTATTGAGTGCAAGAGTGCGATGCAGGTAATATGTGTGACAAAACAACGTGAAAATCAATCGAGTCGGTGACGTCGCCGCCGCCCGACCGACCCCCTCTCGCCCACAAACAAAGCCAATTGCAAAAATATACAAGAGTGCTTGTGTGTTATGTCATCTACGAATTGCAAAAAATGTCCAAAATTCCAGCAGTGCAACACTGCTTGACAATTGGATTGTGCTTCCGTTTCCAATCAGAATTGTTCGGTTGTATCTTTCTAGCGCACTCTGCCTCCAACCAGCAGCAGACAATACAGTAACAATAACAACAGAAGCCACGGCGGTAATGGACAACAGCAGCAACAACAACAACAACGGCAAAAAGGCAGCCTGCCCCCGCCACCTAACGCACGCGAAGCTGGCTTTGGCAAAGTGATGCTCCTATTGACACCACTGGCTGCAGTCGGCGGCGTAATCACCTATTCCAAGTGAGTACTCTTCCATGTTCTGTAGTTTGTTTGTGTTAATAAAAGCGTAACATCGCAGATACGACAAGGATTTCCGTAATATGGTTGAGAAGAATGTGCCTGGCGCTGAATCAGTCATCAAAGTCGTGCTGCAGGAGGAGGCACCGTTCCAGGGCATAACCAAAAATGTAAACGAACAACTCGACAAAGTTAAGTCGACCTTTAATAGCGTATCCGACTCGGTAAGCTCCGCTTCTAATAAGGTAACGAGTTTCTTTGGCGGCAAGAGCGTTCCCGATGTAAAACCTGCATCCACCAAACCAAGCCCGCCCACGGTACAAAAATCAGAAGCACCGAAAGCTAAAGAAACTGCCCCAGTCAAAAGTGAACCAAAAACTGCTGCCAAGTCGGATCCAGCACCGCCAGAAGCAAAACCCGCTCCGCCAAAGGTGCAACCGTTGCCACAGGAAGTCTTGGAACTGGAGAAGTCCATTGAGCTGTCAGCGCAGCTGGCGATCCAGGAATATAATGCTGCCATTGGAATTTTAAAGAGGTGTGCATTGTAAACCTACTCGCCTATCTCGAGATGTTTATAGATCTTTTACGCAGTTTTAATGAGGATGTCCGACGTGTGGTCGACAAGGCGGTTGAGCATGGTGAGAACTCGCTCTGGGCGACACTGAAGAACCGAGCAAGTGCTAGAGATACGGCTGTATCGAAAGCTGAGCGTGCGGCTCGTGAAGCTCAGGAAAAGATTGGTGAGTGCTCTTTAGAATGTAAAAGCATCGAATAAAACTGAACGCATTTTTCCTTATAGAGCGCTGTGAAGTTGCTTTGAGCAAAGCGGCCACTGCAAAGAACCATGAGAAGGTAGAGAATGTGCGTAACAAGATTAAAAAGCTTGTGTCGCACATTGGCAAAGCCAAGGACGAGCTGTATAGACAAAAGGATACGGCGAGTGTATCTGACAAATATTGGCGCAGCGTTGAGCAGGCACGCAACTATTTCATTGACGAAATCGAGTCCATTTTCCCTGGCATTAATCTGTCTGAAAAAAAGTTGAACTTATCGAAAGAGGATTTGGATTTGTTCATACTGCACGCCTACTCACATGTGGTGGCCTACCAAAAAGAATTGCAGCGCCTGCAAACCGACGGCGAATTGCGTCTGAAGCGTGCCATTGATTCCTTGCGAGGTGATAATAGCTCCGAGGCACTGCGTGCCCAACTTGAGTTTCATCTGGAGGCGGAGAAGCGCAAGCTCTCGGTGGAAAATCAAAAAAAGATATTCCAAATCCATGCAGATGCGGACAAGCAGTTGCGTTTGCAGCTCAAAAAACAGGCCGAAGCCCACACGGATCACATTAAGGATATTGTGGCACAACGAGAAACGGATATGACGCGCGCTTTTCAGCGCGAGCTGGATGAAAAACTGGCTGCCGAAAAAGCCAACTACAAACTCCAGCTGGCTGCTATGCTTGGCAAGCTGCGCGGAATGGATGCTGCATTAGCTGGTACGTAAATTATTACAATGCATAACTGTAGAAAGATTCTGTAACATAGTTAAGCTGGAAAACGATTGAGTGTCGAGATTTATCAATGCAGAGCTGTGTTTAACACAGATTCAAAATTCCCTAACCCACATTCGGGCTTACATAACATTGAGGGTTCTTTCACTTACTCCCGATCTGCTTCTCATTCCCTCAATGCTGAAAAATCCAACATAAATCGCATAACAAGGTAGTATATAGGATAATGGTTAGTAAGTGCGATCGATTTGATTTTAGTCTGTATAACATATACTTTATGGAGTTGGATGCTTGTTATATTTTGAATAATCACACATGATTAGCAGCAATGTGCATACATATATTTTCTCACCCGTAAGTCTGACAAAGTCAACATTTGCACGATGAGGTGCTCTCCACAAAAGTTAAAAATACTTGTGACTCTTTTGTACTTGTATTAAGAATCAAAACATGCTTTTACATGAAACCAGCTATACATATATAAGAGTAGTTTATCATTAAATATGAATTGGATAGAGGACCGATTGTTTTCCAGCTTACAGTACTCATGGCTAGCATTTTAATGTTATAAACACCCTAAATTGCTCTCATATGCTGCTTGTTTAGAAATAGAGGACAAGTTTACAGGTATTCCCCGTGCTTATAATCATATTTAAATAGTTATCATGCTTTTACCAAGAGTTTTTTTCTCATCCATATAGAACGCGCTGAAACTGAGCGCTCTGCCAACCAGGCGCAAGCCTTATGGGCTGCCTGTCAAGCGCTTTGGGCTTCAGTGCGCACGGCTACACCCGGTGTGCATTATAAGGATAAATTGCGACCCCTGAAGAACGAGATCAGTGCTATTGCAAAGGTGGCTGGTGAGTGGAATAGACATACATAAGGAGGAAAACTCTCGTAATACGTGTAACTGTTTTCAGAGGGTGACGAACTGGTGATTGCCGTTTTGGAAAATATGCCTAAGGAAGCTCAGGAGCGCGGAGTGTTCCCCGAGGATGCGCTACGTGAACGCTTCCTAAACGTTGAGCGAATTGCTCGCCGTTTGGCGATGGTACCCGAAAACGGAGGAAGCCTGCCCATTTATTTCCTATCTTTTCTGCAATCACTTTTTATTTTGCGGCCAGATAATCCCGTCTCTAGGGATGAGCTGGAGAACAAACCCTTTGACTACAGCAAATTGGACACGTATGATATATTGAATAGAGCCAGGTATGTCTACTAAATTGATTTATAAAATAGATTATTGAGTATTGATTGTCTTGTTGTTAGGTACCATGTCGACCGTGGTGACTTCCTACAGGCGCTTAAATACTTGAACCTACTAGAGGGTGCACCCCGTGAAGTTGCCAGCGACTGGATGAAGGAGACTCGCCTCATGCTGGAGACACAGCAAGCGGCAAATACGTTGATGGCGCATGCCGCAGCCAGTGGTTTGATGTACTTGTAAATTATGTTCCCTATCACGTCGCCCATTTAGTTATCGATTTGTTTTAATTTTACTCTAAAAAGTCTATCAAAAAAAATCACTACTTAAAAAAACATTGTGAAATTTTGTTTTAGAAGCAATTATACAAATTATAAATATAGAGGCCTATAATGGGCAATGAAACAAATTAGGATGGAATTTAAGCATAAGGGTTAACGACTTTATTTCTCATTTTACCCAATTTTTGTATTTCACTCTCGACAAGATCACCGGGCTTAAGAAAACTTGACGGATTACGGTATGCACCAGAACCAGCTGGGGTGCCGGTCAAAATTATGTCACCAGGGCAAAGGGTCATGAATCTATTGTGGATTGGATAATAAAATGTAAAATGAAACCGTGTATCTATCTATCTATCCACTTACTGAGAGAGTCGATGAATGAGGAAGTCAATTTTAAAGATCATATTCTTCGTGTTGCCGCATTGTCGCTGCTCACCGTTAACAATCGTCTTGATCCACAGATTATTTACATCGGGCACATGAGACTTGTGTACGATAACCGGTCCCAGTGGGCAGAAGGTGTCCAAAGATTTCCCTAACATTGTTTGACCACCATGCAATACATTCCAATCTCGTGCATTAATATCCTGAGCAATCATATAACCAAAAACACAGCTCATAGCCGCGTTACGAGAGACATGGCGGCATTTTTTGCCAATAACCACAGCTAACTCGCAGCCATAGTCAATGCGCTGCAAATATGATTTAGCGAAATTAGCCTGAATCGCATATAACATGATTTCCACTTGCCTTGGCTATTTGATGGGCACGAATATTGTCTAGAGCACCAGTGATGGACGTACCGAATTTGACAAAAAACTCTGGCGTTTTTGGTATACTTTCGTGGCGCTCGTTGCAGCCATCATAGTAATTACAGCCAACGCCAATTATTTTACCCGGCGAATCTATAGGAGGTAACAGCCTCAGGTCCTGTTTTACATCGTCCACCTCCATGAACTGTGCGCTGCTAATAAGACTTTTCATGCAGTATCTCTGCTGTATAAAACTGACCATGTCGGGCGAGGCACAGGTTTTGGATGATAATTCAATCATTTTAGAACCGTTCTCAGACACCATGCCAAGACGTTTGTTGGTATCCCCAGAACGTATGTACTGCATAAAGCGGCATTTCGGAATGTGGTATTCGCTATGGCAGGATGAAATAATTGGCTCTAATGGATTTTTCATTTGCTCCCATCCAATTCTTTCTAGTGGAGATGCTTTCGCATGAATGCGTGCAAATCCAAAGCTGTTACGCAGCAAAGACACTGCAGCTCTCATAATTTGGGTTCATGTATTTGTTTATTGTATACAATGCGGTAATTTTGAAAATTGAGCAAACTCTGCAATCCAAAAAATTCCGAATGTAACGCTTTCACTGTGCACAGCTCCCAAAATAACTAATAATAAACCATTTTATGTTTTGAAGTTTAACTCTTGTCCCTAGCCTCCGTTGCCATAGAATGATTTTATTTACTGATGTTTTTCGGTTTAGTGTCAATGGCAAAAAAAAAAAAGAGAATATCCTTGAAATTATTAACAAACATGATTTCAGTGTTGGAAACGTCATCATAGTTTTCATAATGTTATGCAACGGTCACATATGCTTCTATCCGGCAGTTCTTCAATATGTGTTTGATTTTTGGCGCTGCTTATCGATATAACGAATTTCATTTTTATATCAATATATTATGACATAATACTTGATATCTCAATATATTTATTTATTATTTATGCCATGCTAGTAGAAGCTCACTGTAAAAAGCATGTTTTTTGTGTTTCACAATTGAGACAAATTGAAGTATCAAGCTAAAAAAAGAAAATAAGTTATCGGAATTTATAACATGTGATTTTCGATATATTAACAACAACCCTAGTCAGCTGTTGTGTAGGTTTCCGATTATAATTTCGCAAAGCAAAATTAAAAGTTTTAACATTTTTACATTTAGGTCTATTTGATTATCTCTAATAAGCACAATTGTCTAAAGTACGAGCAAGATGTCGATGCTGGCTAGAACCCTGGGACGCACCTTTTTTCAGGTAAACCTCACACAGAGGTCGCCAAGTGCTTACATAAACACTTGCCAAGTTCTCTGCAGCAGCCGCTTGTGGCCAAGACCAGCACAGATGCCAATTTTTTTGAGGTTAACATCCTCGCAGGCGAATACTAATAACTAATCATTCTATTTATTGCATGTATACAGGCAGCGGCAGTGCGCAGACTGCATGTCTCGGCGGCGCTCAATGCTGATGTATGTACATATTTGGAATGTTAAAAAGTATAAATGTTTTAAAGATTGCGATTTTTGCAGGATGCCACCTATAACGCAAATAGAACCACTTGCACCTTGATACCCGGCGATGGTGTCGGTCCCGAGTTGGTCTATTCGCTGCAGGAGGTCTTTAAGGTGAACTTTTATTACCAAATTCGCGTTATGCAGTTTTTATTAACGTTAATCCTGTTTAGGCAGCAAATGTGCCCGTTGACTTTGAAACGTTCTTTTTGTCGGAAATCAACCCCGGACTAAGCGCCAAGCTTGAAGATGTTGTGGCCTCCATACGGAAGAATAAAGTTTGTATTAAGGTAAGCTGTTATCAGTCGTAGCGTTATAGACACAGACGTAATCCGATCTTAATCCAATCTCGTAATTTGTACAGGGCATTTTGGCCACACCCGATTACAGCAATGAGGGTGAACTGCAGACGCTTAACATGAAACTCCGCACAGAACTGGATTTGTATGCGAATGTGGTGCATGTTCGTAGTTTACCTGGTGTTAAGACGCGCCACAACAACATCGATACGGTCATTATTCGTGAACAGACCGAAGGTGAATACTCAGCTTTGGAGCACGAATCGGTGCCCGGCATTGTAGAATGCTTGAAGATCGTGACTGCCAAGAAGTCGATGCGCATTGCCAAGTTTGCCTTCGATTATGCCACCAAAAATAACCGCAAGAAGGTTACAGCGGTGCACAAGGCCAACATCATGAAACTAGGTGATGGTCTGTTCCTGAAGTCGTGTGAGGAAATCTCAAAACTGTATCCCCGCATCGAGCTTGACAAAATGATTGTGGACAATACGACTATGCAAATGGTGTCCAATCCCAATCAATTTGATGTGATGGTTACCCCAAATCTGTACGGTGCCATTGTCGATAACTTGGCCTCTGGCTTGGTCGGCGGCGCTGGCGTCGTTGCTGGTGCTTCATACTCGGCGGATGCGGTCGTATTTGAACCGGTAAGCAAACATTTGACTCCGGCAATGTAATAAGAATCTCATGTCTTTCATTGCTTTTACAGGGCGCACGTCATACCTTTGCCCAGGCTGTGGGCAAGAATCTTGCAAATCCTACGGCCATGTTAATGTGCGGCACAAAAATGCTGCGCCACATTAATTTGCCAACTTATAGCGAAGTTATTCAAAATGCCATAAACCAGGTGCTCAAGGAGGGCAAGGTGCGCACCAAAGATTTAGGTGGACAATCCACCACGCAGGACTTTACGCGTGCCGTTATTGCCAACCTGCACTAGACATGTTTCAAAAATTCAGCGACAACAATAGTTGGCCCAAAGGATCACGCATGCTTAGACAAGAAACAGTTGTGTTGCCCAAATTATTGTTTCACATTTTTAGTTGTCTTTCATTCATTCAGTATGATTTCCTTCCATAATTCAATGCATTCTTTGAGTATTATTTCTGGCGAATATTTATGTTTAGTGCAATTACCTCGCCTCCCCCCGCCTCCCTAAAAACTTTAGTTATACAAATTGGCCGTTATGTTTATTATGTTGTGATTATGTATTATTTTTTGCAAAATCCAAATTGGATTCGAATTTTGCCATCAACATTAAATTTATGACAAGCAAAAAGAAAACAAAAATTAAAATCAATTAAGTTAAACCAACTCAAAGTGTAGCGAGAACCACGATGCAACAAATAGAAATTTAAATAAATAAAATTTGAAAGCGATGCCAAATGTGCAGCTCTTTGAGCTCTTTGACAAATGTAAAAATTATTGTTACCTTATCCTTTTCAACAAAATCGGGACGCCGCCAACCCGGCATTCAATGGAAAAAAACGGCTTAGAAACTATTCCACATTTTATTTCACAAAATATATATAAGAAAAACCGAAAGAACAACACCAAAATATTTGTAAAATGTAAATTGTCTAGAGTTACGATCCCTTGGGCTTGGCCAATTCTATAAGCCGCGGCGAAGCTTTGGCCTTGAGCGCCGCGGGCGAGATAGCAAAAGGATTCTCTCGTATGTGCGTGTTTTCGAACTCCTTTGGCTCGGCCAGCTCCTTCATGCGCGATGATATCTTGTATTTTAGAGCGTTTGGTGATATGGCGAATGGATCGTCTTTGAGGTCGGCCGGCCCCAAATTGGCATCGTGCTTTGCCAGCGGCTGTGACATCTCCTTGATACGTTCGCTCGCTGTGAATAGATGTTGGAAATAGGGTATTTAATACAAGTACTCAGGTTAACTTACGTTTGTACTTGAGAGCATTGGGGGAAACTTTCTCTGGATTTTCATTAGTGTGCACATTTGGTCGAGCCACAGGTTCGGCCAATTTCTTAACACGATCCGTCGCTCTGTAGTTGCGCATGCTGGGCGTGATCTCCCATTCCTGCTTAACGTCCTCCAGGTATACTTTTGGACGCGCTAGTTTCTTAAGGCGACGCTGATCAACCTCTCCTGCTTTACGTTCCTGTATAACAAAAGCAAATAAATTAAGTAATTCGACTAAATTGTCCTCTTAACTGATTTACCGGCGCTGGTTCCTTTTTCGGGACCTTGGGCTTGGCCAGTTTCTTGATATACATCTCGCGTTTCTTTTTTTGTTTAGCAGTTAGCTTCTTCTTTATGGCCCTGTGTAGATTTTATTTATATTATTAATAAAAGCGCTAAGAAATAGCAACTTGAAACTTACGGTTTCTTCAGTGGCTGCAAATTCCCCAGACGACTGTAAAGTGACATAAAACTATAACGTAACCATCGATTTATTATGCCCTCGCCAATTGTATCACCGGCACTTATGGCTTCATTACGACGATGAAGCAGTCGTCTAACCGTTGGCAAGGCTAGTTGTTCGGTGCGAGTGTGCATAGGATAATCGGCTGGAACGATCTCAATTGTCCTTTTGAATGGACATGAACATCTGGGAAGAAAACGGCACTGGGGATTTCTGGGTATAGCTAGCTCCATGATACGTTTGCGTTTGGTAAAACGTTTTTGATGTCGTTCGTAAAGCTTTTTTAGCTCCTTCCCAATATCCCTAAGAAAACATTCAGCGTCGCTTGGTATAGGATCTCGTACTTGACAGCAATCGGGACGAACATTGTCGGCTAGTTTGAGACAGGTCGTTAGCTCTGGACTTAGATCACATTTTAATCGTTTCAAAGCCATTTTTTTTTATAAATTTTTTTTTTTTAATTTTTTTATTAATAATTAGTAATTATTTGTCAGCACAGAAAATTTACTGCCATCTGCTTGGGAAAACAATGTGAAATTAAATTGTTTAGCTACCTACAAGGCCTACTAACCAGATCATCTATCCGTTCCATAGAATTTGTATTCGAAGGAATTTGATTTGAAAAACATTGAATATTCGACGATTTGAACGAAATAAAAGGCTGTGTTTTCATTTATGTTTTATTAAATGTTTATTGCCAGTATTCATCAAAATACTGAGAGCTCCATGTTCACATCATTACAAGTTAGTAGTTGTGTTTTGTTTCTTCTCATTTGTAAGTATGTATGTCTTTAGTAGATTTTGCCATTATGCCTCCATTTTTCACATTCATATACACAAATCGAATTGTTATTTCTTTGCAATTTCAATTTTACACAATTGTTGTTTAGCATTTTATTGCAATAAAATGTTGCTAGAATTGCAATTGAATTGGAAATATTGATCTTGGCATTGAATTCGTAGTGAGAACAAAATTAATGTCGTAAATTAATAACCATGATGATAATTATAATTTCTTGTTCCTTTTTTGCGTACATAGAATTTTAGCAGACATACACAAATATATATACTATAAATTTGAATTTATCATTTACTAAGTTGACATAAATTTTGCTAATTTAATTGTTTAAATTTGTGTGACTTTCCTTTGAATTATGTTTGCCTGCTGTAGAAGAAAACCCACCTAGCTTTCGTATCTTGATATATATATTTTTTTATACTTATTTACACCAAAATTACACCAAATAATAATTTTCTATTCAACTAAATTTTCTTTGGTTTGAAATTTGATGGCGCTTATGATTTTGTTTAATACACAATTCCAGCCAAATTTTTAGTACTTGAATATTCTTAACTTCAATTTTGTTTACTTGCATATCGTATACAAATTTCCTTACGTTTAAAATTGTTTTTTTTTTTTTCAATATCCGAGAGTTTTGACTGACATTTATTGAAATTTTCGGTTGTCTTTTATATATTACCATATATATGGTAATGTATAGGTATATATATTACCAAAGGGGATTTTTTTTTGTACATACGTACAATTTTGTTTTTAATTTTTATAATTTTTATTCACACACATACACACATAATAGTTTGTGATATATTCAAAATGCTTCCCTAGAAGTTCCTTAGATTTTTTTTTTTTTTGTTGGTTTTTGCATATCGGGTTCATTTTCCGTTCAGATATGCGTCCAATTTCTGTTTCAATTTTGATGTACATTTCTCAAATGATTACCAGTTGTTAAATAAATTTTTATTTGGTCCCTGAAGCTGTTGAGTTTAGATTAACGATAGCTTTATTTGTATGTGTTAGTTTTGCCTTCATAACCAGGTCTAGAACATTGCTGGTACGTAAGTATCCTAACTATTTCCAAAGTGTTTAGTGGGTTAAAGGAATTCAAACATTTAAGAATCGTTACGAAAAATTAAGTGAAACATAAACAGTTTTCTTTTTTTAAGAATTCTCAAACAAATGTCTTGTTATTTATTCTGTGCCAATCTTTTGCATTGTTGTTGCTGTTGTTTATTTGTTGCCTATTTGATTTTGTTAAATGTGAAAATGGAGCAAATATTGACGGTGTTAGGATATTAATTTGTTCCTCGCAACCCCATCACAGTCAATATTTACTTTGGGCTATTGTTAAGTATTTAATAAACGTACTAGATTCATAGATTACTATTGCATTTTATGATAATACTTTTAGCATTTGTATTTGTGTAAATATATAGCATATAAGTTGAACGTGTAGCCGTTTCTCGTTTAGGGCGAAAGTTTAAAATAAAAGCCTCTGTGTGTCTAAGAAATGGAAATCAAAATGAAAAGCGCAGCTGTTGAACTAAAATATTTGTTTTTATTAATAAACATTTTCAGCGTAAATATATGATATATTGTATATATATATTTTGCGTTTAAAACATAATAAGTAAATAATAAAAATAACGAAAATCATGAACTTAATCTTAAGTATAAGTGTATATATAACAATTATGCACGCTGAACAAATTTTCATTTAAATATAACTTATCTCAATCCTATAACTCTTTTGTTTTTATTTTTAAACAAATTAAGCAATATTTTTTATTGGTAGTTAATGAAATTATATCTCTTTTTGAAATTTAGGAAAGATATTCCTTGGTTTTTTGTATATTTTTTTTAAAATTTTAATATATATATATATATATATATATATATATATATATATATATATAAAGAACTAATAGTAAATTAAAGAAAATTTGAAAACATTATTTCTATGGAATTTATCATTCAAATAATCGGTTTGTTGTTGTTGTTGAAATTCTTAATTTTTGCATGCTTGGCTGGTGTTTGCTTAAGTTTTTATCTTTGCTTTTGTTGTTGTTGTTGTTTTTGTTGATGTCCTGGTTTTAATGCTAAATACATACATATGCTATCTGAACTTATGGGCTATTGCTAATCATAATGCATTTATATGTAGTTACGCTTATTGGCTGTGAAACAGTTTTCAACTTGTTTATGTTTTACACAAGTAAATGTTTTTGCTGTGATTGATAAATGCACAAAAAAAAAAAACAAAGAATTTTGCTTCGTTTGCTAAGTTGTTGTTTGCGTTAAAATGTACTTTTTATTTTTTGTTTATTATTTTGTTTTTTATTGTACTTGCATCAGTTTTGAACGCATCGAGGGCGTCGTCTTTGTTGTAGTAAAAATAATCTAAATGTATGCTGTTAAAAACGAGAAACTTTTTATCATTTTAGTGCTTCAACAAAGGCTGAGAAATGTTGCATACAAATTGTAACAAACTGTTCGTTAAGAAGAGTATTACGCTTTGCTTAAGATGCAATCACCTGTTTTTCTATGTTTATTTGCCTTTTGGGTTCGCCAATAACTTAGAACTATTGCTGTTGGTTTTATTTTTATTGGTTAATATGAGTATGAATATTTTTTACTAGGGCTATTGTTTTTTTTTGTTTTCTGTTTTTTTTTTTTTATCTGTTTACTGTAAATGTATTTATAAAGAGTGATGGTTGAGTGGATAATTGAAATAAAAATTGTTTCAGTTACTTATGACAAACGTTTCGAGCGTTTTTACGAATGCCTTGCATATTCTTGTGCAATGCTGCGTATACGCAATGCAAAATGTTGCGCATACGCCATGTGAAAACTGCTCTGCGCTCTCTCTCGATATTGTTCTGCTTCTTTTTTCTTTTGCTGTCTTAATTGTCTTGTCTATTGTATGCTTGGCTATGATCGTTAATTATGTGGCTATTGTATTGGTTATTGCTATGAATTGGAATTGAATTGAAAATTAGTTGTTTTGAGTTTGTTAATTCTGTGTGTTGTTGTCGTGTGTGTTTGTTTACTTGTTTGTTGTAATGTTAATTGTTTGTGGCTATGGCTATTTCTATTACTGTTGCTATTTTAGTTTGTAGTAAGAGTAGTACTATTGTTTAATAAAATTGTTTGGTAATTGCTTGAAGAAAAAAGAAAAGTACAATCGACGTCAGGCTTTGTGTTTTGTTGTCTCATTCATATGATTACATACATAGTAGATATATATGTACTGGTATACAATATTTAGATATTGTATATTGTTATCTCAATTTTTAGTTCAATTATTTTGGGCTATTGTTGTTGGTTACCAATGGTGTTGTTATTGTTGTTGGTTGGCTTTTCTGGGCATATTTGGGCTATTGTTTCTTGCTGTCTGGTTGTATTCTTTGCATTTGATTGAAGATCGCTTAACGCTCAAGTAAAACGTAAAAGGATCGTGTTCTGAATTGGTTTTGTTGGCACAACTAAACATTTTATTATTTTGAATGGTTTCTCGTTTCTTAAACTGCTTGAGAATAATATAAAAATATAATTTTGTGATGTTTGGTTGTTGACTGAAAATAATTGATTTAAGAGCTTTGATTTATAGCAAAATTAAAACTGACTTTGACTTTTAGTTGCGTGCATATAATTGGAGAACCTAGGCATATTTTAAATGTCTATAAAAAGTTATGTGCACTTATAATGATTTTTGATTTTCAATTAAAGGTTTTCTTGGTTAAATAATAATGGTTGCTGTTTACATATACATACTTCTTGGTATTGCAAAGAAATCTGTTAAATTATATCAGTTGTTATTAATATATATTTGTTAGTTGTTTGAAACAATTGCACTATAAGTCAAATGTGTTGCCCGTTCGTAATATTATAATAAAAATTGATTAAAGAGAATTGCTTATAATGTGGTCTAATATATACAAAACACAAATCAAGGCTAACAACAGTGGCAGCACGCCAGTCTGCTACACGCTGCTAATAATATACATAATTATGTGTGTATCATTGTGATATTACAAAAAATATTTAAATATATATATGTTTATATACGTAATAATAAGTAAAATTTTGATTTGCCTATTTTGCGTGAACTGCGCGTACAGTTAATTAGAATAATTGTAATAATAATATGCACTAATTCATATACATAAATTAAAGAGAGAAAATAAACACTAAGTATATGCACTTACATTCAGCAAATTTTGATTCATGTTGAACAAATTATATTTTATACACAAAGGTGAGCAATTCTTAAAGCATGATATAAAAAATGCTAAGACTCGTCTTTAAACAATTTTATAATTAGTAAGTATATCGATTTAATGTTTTTGTTTTTGTATTTTTTTTTTACAATTATTAACTATTAATTTGTAGTAAACAAAGAATAAGTAATGTATGGGTAATCAATCTTTTTTCTCTCCGAAAAATAAAACACGTACCTGAGCGTTTCTGCACGCCCCACCCCCCCGTGGCAGCGCGTAGCCGCCTTGTTGTTGCCAAGTTTTCTTGGGCGTATTTGGGCAAACTGCACGGTGCCAGAGGTTGGCATGCAAAAATTCTATACAATTCAACATTCTCAAGCTGTTACTCATTACACTCGACTCTAAGACCTAACATAAGGTTGATATTTCAGTATCTCACGCCCTCACAGGCGGCTTGCTTGTCATCAGTTTTCAGTTTTCAGTTTGCAGTTTTCGCTTTTCACTTTTCTCTATTGTATGTACTTGTAAGAATGCCATTTTGTGTGTGTCTGTGTGTATTGTTGGGTAATTCATTAACATTTCTTTTTTAATGTGTTTTCATTTTTTAGTACCTTTGGTTCGTGCAATGTTTTCTGTTTGGTTCAGACACAAAGCACAAAACAAAGCGCCCAGACCTGGCATGCTTGTAGATTCATAGTTAATAAACTTTTCAAATTATTATTTTTGGTTTGTTTTAACGAACCGGCCTTGAAATTATGCTGAACATGCTTCGAAATATTAGCTAAATTTCGTATAATTTATAACGTTTGCTTCTTAATACATATAAACCGTATAATTGCACTTTATTTTTATTTTCATTATTTTTAATTTGATTTTTGTTTATCGTCTTTTTATATATAAGTAGCTTTAATTTTTTTTGCAATTTTGTTTTCTTTAACAAAATATTTGTTTTGCAATTGCATATTTTTTTGTTGGAATTTTGTTGTTTCTTTTGTTTTTTTTTTTAATTTGTATTCCTTTTTTTTAGTTTTGTTTTGTATAATTTTGTTTTATAAAATGTTTACACTGCATTGTTTTTTTGCAAAGCTGTTATTATAATTTTGTTTATAGTAGACAGGTTCTTTTCTGCATTTCTGGGTAGTTTTGAGTAAAAAATGTTCCAAAATATATTTACACCTATATACGTTATGAAATGTCGTCCTTTTTGTAGTGATGTGCCGTAGTTGTCGCCCTGCTATTTTAGAGTTCGAAAAAGTAATCTATTGCCATATTATTTGCTCTGCTATTTTTTGCAACTTGTGGCTGCAGTTAAGAATTCTCTTTTGCTTCGAAAACATGATAGTTTTGCTTGTGCTCTGTGTAGTTACTGTTGTTAATTATTTGTATCCGATCATTTTACAATTTGTTTATAGCATTTTTTTTATATGTTTCATTATTATAATAAGTTTTCATTATTCATTTTTGTTTAGATTGTGTTTGTTTTTCTTGTATGCCTAACCAACATTAGTCAGAAAAAGTTTCTTCAAAATTTTGGATTATTAATCACAGATAGTGTGTCTAATATATATGTATATATGTATGTATAATAAATATTTATGTATACTTCAAATATAATTAAATTAGCAATAAATACTTTTTGTTTTTTTTATTTTTTTTTCTTGTTGTTGTCGTATAATAAACAATTTTTTGTTGGTTTGATACGCACACGTTTTTCACGCCATCATGCAAATAATTTACTAAATTTTACATTGTTTTTTGTTTTTTTTTTTTGTTAATTTCTTTTGATACACCAAATGCTTTTTTTCTTTGTTTTTAATTTATGCCTGAATATAAATTTTGAATTTTATCGTACAGATATTTGTTACTAACCACAACATTTATGCACATTGAATGTATTTTTAAAGATTAGCCAATAAATATACTTTAAACTTTGCATGCTTAAATTATAAGAAATTTATTGTGTTTTGCTTTAAATGCTTTTAAATGATTTTGTTTATATCATTTTCTCTTTCTTTCACAAATGTTTTGAATAGAAATTTTTGTTATATATTTTTTTGTTTTGTCGTTACAATTTACTAAACATTTTGACATACCGACTTTAAAAATACATATGTATATATATATTTTTTGTTATAATTAAATTGTTTTTATTTTTATTTATTTATTTTTTTAATTATTTTTGACACTTACTAGCTAGCACACAAAATATGTTTTTTAGGTACATTTATATATATTTACTCTTTCTTTTTTTTGATTTTTTATTTACGCATACGTTTAGTAACCCATCTATAATTTTGAAAAGATTCTTAAATCAAGAGACATCGAAAGGGAATGTGTGACTCAATGTTGGCCAAAAAAAGGTGTTACAAGTGTGTACTGGTAGGAGAGGTTGTTACATTTTACGGTGTAAATATGTTAGACGTTTCATTTGTTGTTGTTGTTCTTGTTGTTGATTTTCTTGTATATTGTGTAAAGATGTGTATAGAGTGTATAAGTACATTTAAATATATATAGTTGCTCAAAATGATCATGTGTTTTGTTTGAGGTATACGCGTAGTGATGAAGACACACACATACATAAGTATATATATATATATATATATATATATATATATATATATAGATATCGAGTTATTTAATGCTTATATCAAGACTTGTTTTCATATCCTTTTTTTTGATATTTATTTTTAAGGGCTTTTATATCTTTCAATAATATGTTGCCATAATATTTGCCGAATTATTTACTTAGCCAATGTGGAATTTTCTTTATACTCTTTTACTGCCTAAACACATAGTTAAATTTTATTTATTTAAACACCGAAACATCAAATATTTTCATTCATATACAAGTTGTATATAATTAATAATAATATTTGTTTTTGCTCTATATATTTTGTATGTAATTTTCTTTCTTTTGGTGTCTTGTGTTATATGTAAAATTTTAATTTTGATTTTTCTTTAAATTATATTGAAATGTTTTTTTTTTTTTTTTTGTGAATTTGATGGGGTTTGGGTTGTGTCTTTTTTTGTTGTTGTTGGAGGTGGATTTAGTTTTAATGAATTTAGCGTTTGCGTATATTTCAATTTGGTTTTTGATTTGTTGTTTTATTATCATTTTGTGTGCTTTTATCTAACGTTTCTCGTTCCTCTTATCAATTTATTTAATTTGTAAACGTGAAGGCAGCTTTGTTTATTGATTTCCGTTTTTTTGTATGCTTCATTTTCTTTAAGGTTTCAGGGTTGTAAGTATTCATTTATTTTCGACTTTAATTAATGGAAATTAATAGGTAATTTTGTTGAATTGAAATGAGTTTAAGTATAATTTGGTTGTAGTTTTTGAATTTTGCCTTGCTATTTCTTGTTCTTGTTGTGTTTTTTGTAGTGTTGTATTGTTATGGTTATTGTTATTATTGCTTGTTGGCTATTAAGTTTGCTGTTGTTATTGATCGGATATTGTAGATGTTGCTGTTGTTATTGTTGTTGTTGTTGGTATTTTTAGTTATGGTCTTTGCTGTGGTTATTGTAGTTGGGCTTGTCAGTAGCTATGCAACTGGCGTCTGCATTGCGTTTGCGAAAGTCAAGTGAGAATCACATTTGAAGTGTTTAAGTCAAGTTTTCAAAAGATTAAAACGTGGAAAGTGTGGAATGTATAATTTCCCTTGAATTTTGCTATCAATTCGCAAGCAGGCGCTGCATAGATGGGCTGTTCTTTGCTTGTATCTGCTTTGTTGTTGATGTTTTTTTTATTGCATTGTGGGCTGTTGGTTTGTTTTTTTTTTTTTTGTAATTTTTAATTAAAAAAATATATATATGTATGGGGGGCTTTTGTATTATATTATTTTTTCGGTACTTAACAGAATAAAGAATGCAAATAAAAAATGTTTTATTTTTTGTTTAAGGTTCAGTTTTGGTCTTAAAATATTATTTTGCGGTTTATTTACTTGGTGTTGTTGTTGTTGTTTATTTGTTTTTTAGGTTTTTGTTTTGTTTTTAGAAAGTTTGTACAAGAGAATGCCTATTTGTCGATTGTCAAAAACTAAACAATAAATATACATAAATACTGTGTGTATTTATGCATGTTTGTTTGTTGTTGTTGTTGTTGTTATTGTTTGTTACTGTTCTTGTGTATTTCATATGTGTAAATACATATTTAATTATGTTTCTATGCTATAATGTATGTCTTGTATTGTGTTTATTAACTACTAACAATCAGAGCCAGGACGCTGCTCTATATGCCACGCCGCTTCCCACTATTCAAATCGGGCTCTTTGCTTTGTTATGCATATATATGTATATATACTTAAAAATTTGGTTTGCTTCTTCTTATATGATTTATAGACACATACTCATTCTTCGAATGCCTGTACAATACAACTACACGTGACCGGGTGTGCTCAACTAACCACTGCCCAACTAGAAACTATAGTAGTGTGTGGCCAGCGGTGGCCACACAAATGTTGGTGCCACCTGTGGCTGCTGTTGCTGCTGCTGCTGCTGCGGACAGTCGCCTAAATGCCACCTGCTCTATAACTGCTCCTCGGGTGCGTTGCAATCGGCCTGTTCGGCCTTGATCTGCGCCAGCTTCTCGTGCAATATCGAATTGCTGGGTGAGATTTGCGCTGCTGTTGGCTCCAGCTCGTATTTGACACCTGTGCTGCCATTGAGATCCATCATTTTGTTGCCAGAACCGGCGAGCTGAGCCGGGCTGTGCGATTGCTCGCTCTTCAAGCTGCTTGCGTCCGTTTCCGAGTCGCGCGATGTCATGCGGCTTCGTCCATTCCCGTTGTTGTTCTTGTTGGTGTTCCTGCTGCTGCCGTTGTTGTTCTTGTTGTGCGCCAGGTCGCTGTTGTTGTTGTTGTTGTTGCTATTGTTGTTGTTGTTGTTGTTGTTGCTGGAATGCTCATGATCCTCATCACTGCTGGCACTCTCGGCGCTGCGCATGGGACTGAGGCATTCGCGCTTGATATCCGAATAGGCGCTCAGCGGGCTACCCGGACGCTTTACGCTCTCGGAACTGGAACAGGCGGCGCTGATGTAGTCATTGCTACGATTATTGGTAAATGGCAGTGGCGTCTTCTTCACCAGCAGCTGATCCAGCAGCGCATTGCCATTGCCATTGCCGCTAGTGCCGCTCCCAGCAATTACATCGCCATCCTTCTTGAGGGAGTTCCGTATGATGCCGTCGTACATGTTCTCGGCAAAGTCCACGGCGCTGGTCATGTGCACGCCGCCATGGCCATGATGATTGGCGGCCACGCCCAGCGGGCTGCTGCGCATCACCTCGGCCAGGTGCGTCTTAAGAAATTCTGGACTGCGATTGAAGTCCAGTCCATAGTTGGCGCCGGCATTCGGCTGGGCCCAGAACATGCTCGGCTGGAAGGACAACTGCGGTGCGGCATCAAACATGGGCAATTTCATGCCATTGGGCGCTGCCGCTGCCGCAGCCGCAGCTACCGCACTGCTGTTGTTCTTCAGCGCGTTGCTCAGCTTGGAGCCGGAACTATTATTGGGGTTGCTGCTGCTATTGCTGCTGCCGGACTTCAGCTTATCCAGATGATTCAGTCCCGTCAAAGTCACCTTATTTGCTGCGCCTGTCAGTCCCACAAGATCCGGCTGAGGCTTCGGCTCACGCTTGCGCGGCCGCATCAAATGCCGCTCCTTCACCTTGTACTCTAGCGTTGAGTGTGGCACACCGTAATAGCTGCCGGCACGATGCACAGACATCTCGCCACGCTGAACGGCCTTGACTGCCTCCACGAGGCTGTCTCTGTCATAGTTGCGGTACTTACCCCGCTTCGGTCGCGTGCCCTTGCCGGCGGCCAGTGCAGCGGCATCCTGTGCACTGAGCTGCTGATGCTGGTGCTGATGCTGATGCTGGTGGGCATGATGGGCGCTCATATGGCCGTGATGTTGCTGGGCGAGCAGATTAGGTGAGGCACCGAAGCGTGAGGTGTCTGTGCCGCCAATGATTTTTGCCACTGATATGCTGGGCTTTCTACCGACGTTGCCGCTCCCACCGCCACCACCACCACCGCCACCGCCGCCTCCACCGCTGCTGCTGCACTCGCTGCCGCTTGTGTTGCCATTGTTGCGCTTATCCAGACCCAACAGGCTGTCCTGGCTGACCTGCTCGTTGATCTTGCGCTGTATGGTATTGGCCATCATCTTCTGTATCGATGTTGCCGACGACGACAGTAAATTGCCGCTGTTGTTGCTACTGCTCTGCCTGTAGCTGTTGTTGGCCGCGACGGCGGCTACAGCAGCTGCAAGCATTGGTGAGGCGGAGTGTGGACTGTGATCGCCGCCGCCGTTACGGTTGCTGCTGCTGTTAGAGTTGTTGTTGTTGTTGTTGCTGCTGCTGCTGCAATGCAACGTGGGCGAGACGCTGGGCGCACCGCCGACCTTGAAGGACGGAATCTTCAGTATGGGATCTTCGCATGCCTCATTGGCTTCCAATGAGGAGCTGGTCTCAGGCGTTTCAGACTTTGGTAGGTGGCGACGATACGCGGCAACTGCAGCAACATTATTTAGCTGCTGCTGCTGTTGCTGCTGTTGCAGCAACGATACGCTGCCGTTGCTCTCCAGACTGGGCGTCACAACGCCGGCGAGCGCCTCGCTCATGATGCCGCCACTGTTGGCCATTAGTAGCGTTTTGAACACGTCACCCAGCGTCTGCGTCTCGTCCAGCTTGGGCATGGCGCCAATGCCCGCTGCCAACATTAGGGTATGCAACAGGACACGCGCATCGATGGGCATGGGCAGTCCAGCGGCATTGCCGCCAGCTGTTGCAGCTGGAATGTGTCCAGTTGGTGTGCCGCCGCTCTGAGAACGCGTCGGCTTTGGCGACATAACTGATTCCAGCTCGTCGCCCAGCTCGCTGCCATTGTGCTCGGATATGCTGCTCAGCTTGCACAGATGATCAGTGGCTGCAATGCGTTGGGCGATTTCCTGAAAGCCAGGCGCTGGTGTCGACGCATTGCTATCGCCTTCGCCAGCCTCCTCGCCGGATTCATCCTGCTCGTCTAGGTCCAGTTCGTGCTGCAGTTGCTGTTGTAGCTCTGGCGGCGTTGGCACATTTGTCCTTTTGCCGTCTAAGGACATTTTGCTCAGCTTATTGCGCTGCGTGGTGCGCGACACTTGGTACTGGCTGGCCGCTTTGCGTGTGCCCAGCTTATTGACCAGCACATCCTGCAGCACGCTATTCAAATCCTCGTTGCTGTACGTGTGGCGTGCTGCTGCAAGGGGAGTGGCGCAGTCTGACAGAGCTCTGTAAAGGATAATACCAAGAATTAGATAAGTTTTTATGCGCTTGCATAGGTATTCGATTAGCTTTGGATTGGATGTGTACAATATAATAAAGATCGGAAATATTCGGAACGCTATCGGAACTATGCATTTTTGTAAGCTTTGCTTCAGACCGACGCTTCCTCTAAGGTCCATATTTCATGTAAAAACCATAGAGAAGTCTGGATTTGCACATATTGAAGCAGCAAAGAAGCATTGTGTGTTAAGATTCTTGAAAAACACAAAAGCTTTTTATTCAAGAATTTGATGCTTAACAGATCATTCCTAAGGCAGCTGATCAAGAGCTAGAAGCCGGATAAATCTTACATATTAACTGCGACTACCAAGCAGATTGAGGTATGCAAAGTTATCTGACGAGAGCTTTAAGGCAGAATGATCTTGGCTGATGATTCTAAGCAAGAATATATATACTTTATGGACTCGTCTCGACGTCGCTTTCTATGTGTTTAAGGATTAAAAAAACTCGTATAGATTTAAGTTAATTAGCTTCAGAAATTTGCAAATGAGAGAGATTGCAAGCGGATATAGATTACATTTCTGTAGAACTAGATAAGCTATTGAGCAGGAGCCATGGAGGTAATTGACCAGCCAAAGAGTATATATATATGTTCCTTAGTAGCTCTGCTGGCACATCAGTTCCCTTTGACAGCATTTTGCGAGTGACTGCAGTTCAAAGCAAAATGCAGAAGCTGACAAAATATTATTTTCACTTTTGCCACTTCCTGATGCCCGGCGAACATGCATTTTTTTTGGTGCTCATTATTGGGCATCCACACACACACATACACACACACATGAAGTACTGACAATGAGCGCTTCTTAAATGTCTGCAGCAGGCAGCGGCGATGTTGTCCTTGTCAAAGGCAATGGCAAGGATTCAGCATAGAAAAATTTGTAACGCTTGTTTTTTTTTCTTTCTGATTTCGGCTGCTGCAGAGACAAAAGATGACACGTCAGAGGGGTGAGTGCTGACGGGCCTAGCAGCATGGGCAGAAGGGAGCGGTGGAGGGGGTCGAACGAAGATGTCAGCCTGCCAGCCAAGGCAGGGACAAACATGTTTTTGAAGTTCATTAGACGAATTTCAAAAAAAGCATTTTTCACTTAATGCCAAGCCCGAGCCAAGCCGCACCACTTGGCGCTTTGGTGGTGCCCAACCCCAGCCACTCTGTTAGCCGGGTGGAGCGCACTTTTGGTAGCCCATTTCAAAAGGCAACTTTTATGCAAGGAAAAAACAACGACAACAACAACAACACGAACAGCAGCAGCATCAGCAGCAGCAACATCAGTGAAAGCCGTACGAAATTTTTATTTTCTTTATGCGCAGCCAGCAGGGAGACGCGTTACGAGACGAGGTTAGGCGAGGCGAGGCGAGACGCGCCGCGGACTAGACGAGACGAGACGAGACGAGACGCGACACGACGAGACGAGCTGAGACCAAGACCCTTTTGGCAGCGCTTGGTGGGTGGGTTTTTGGAATGCTGGGCGGCTCTGGCCATGGCTGCGGCTGCAGTACATTGCACTGGCTGTCGCCAGGCAGCGGAAACGCACAGCTTCTTGTCCTCGCTGTGGGCTGTGGGCCAGCCCAGAAAAGTTGACTGAAAAGTTGGCGCTTTTTTGTTGTTGTTGCAACCTTTTCTTTTTGTTTTTTTCGTTTATTTTTATTTTTAAGGATCGCGCGCGTCTGGAATATGTCTGAAAATTGCGCAGACAACGAAACGTGTGCGACTGCAACAGCAGGTGGCAAGTGGCAATGACTGCAGCAGTTCTGCTGACCGAAAACTTGCACGGCGCTTTTTGTTATTATTATTAATTTTTTTGGCCAAGTACTATATACTAAATAATATGCCCGCAAGAAATATGGAAATATGTATAAATGTTCATAATTGCGCCGGGCCAGGTGTCGGGGTGCGACAGCAATAGCCGGTTAAAAAAGGATTGCAAATATAAATGAAAAATGTCATTTCAATGTCGTTTTGATTTTTGTTGTTGTTGTTTTTGTTGGTGTCGTTTACCTTTTGGCTGCACTTCAATTGCAATTTGCCGTTGCAACAGCCGCTGCAGCAGTCGCTGCTGCTGGCGTCAACGCCGACAGCGCTGCCGCTGCCATGAATATCGTTGCTTTTGTTGTTGTTGTTATTGCTGCTGCTGTTTTTGTTGCACGCATGTAGCGAGGATTCATTTGCGTTGCAGTTGCCCGCACCGCTGTGTGTGTTTTTTTTCATTCTTTTTTTGTTGTTGTAATTTTTGTGAGTTTTTTTTTCGTTTTTACTGACATTTTGTTTTAATTTGTGGCAGCAGCGGCAACCAACAGCTATGCAACAAAAATAGGGTTGATTTTTTTTATTTTTGTTGCATTTTTGTGTTGAAGTTGTTGTTGCTGCTGTTGTAATTTTGACGCTTGCTGCAATTGCATCGACAACTGCTGCCGCCGCTGCTGCCGCTGCTGTTGTTGTTGACATTTTTATGCGCATATCGCATTTTGTCGGTTCATCCCACACCTTTTGTATGCCTTAAATACACAATAATACACACACACACACACATATATATGCAAACACAGACACACACACAGGTATCCATACCTTACATCCACTTACATACATGGAATGCACAATACGACCAATGCGTTGGTAATAATTTTCGGGCTTACCGAGGTCGTTGGGTTAAATATAAGTATATAATGACAAAAGACTTTAAAAAGATACTTTAACCTGCAAATAATTGAAATATTGAGACATCAAAAACGAAGTATACCTACAGCTATACATATAATTCTCTTAGCCAAAGGCCATAATAAACAGTTTATATTCTAAAAAAATTAATATCTCAGCAATAGTTCATTTTGTAATTACTAAATATATTAACAAGATCTTAAAAAATATAAATTGATTTGAAATATCAAATGTGATCCATGCAATGAAATATGTAAAAAACCATTGTTACATAGATATTATATAAAAAATTCACATAACCCTATCAAGCAAATAAAAAAAGCTTAAAAAATGTGGAAATAAGAAACATCTTGAATAATAAATTAAATATATCATACTTAAATAATGTAAATTCTGTTTTCGCTCTGATATTAACTGTCGAGTTTAGGGCATTGTGTACAGGTATAGAATACACATGTATTGTTTATTGGCTTTGGTTAGCTAGTTGCATGAGAAATGGGTAATCAAAATAATAATAATAAAAAATTGTAAAATTATTCTAAAGGCTATAGATCTCTATACTTTATTTTTTTAAAGTCAGAGTCCTCATATGTATTTAATTAATTTAATTTGTTCGGACTGTTGTCTTTTCATTCTGTTGCGTGGCCGCTAAATTTTTCAGTGGCGGGACGCAGCGTTGTTGGGCGCAGTGGGCGTTGGGAGCGGGCAGGGGGGTGTGCACAATGTCCCGTTCCACGGTTATATGCAGTGTGTGTTTGTGTGTGTGTGTGTGTGTGTGTATGACTGACGACGCCGAATGCAATTTTGTTAAAAATGCATCAAGTGCATGTGTGCGTGTGCCGGTGCCTGCACGTGTGCTTGTGTGTGTGTATGTGTGTTTTATTTGTGTGTGAATGCAATTGCATGTTTGTTTTTGTTGCCAATGCAGGCGCCCCAACTGCATTGCCCGCCCCACCAACTGCTGCCGCACTGCTTGCCCCTTGCACTCGATGCGTGCGCAGCAAACAACCACCCACACACGCACGCACATACAGACACACACTCATACACATGCAAACACACTAGCATGCACGTGTATATGCAGTTGCATTTTTTCGGAAGATATGCACTCATTTTTTTACGGCTAGCGCTGTTGGCGTCTCTGCCGCTGCTGCTAACGTTGCAGCTGCTGCAATTTTTTGTATGCTTTTTTTTCTATCTCGCTCATTTAAGCGACATTTCATTCACTCACGCATAAAACACATAACGGCAATCAGGCTGGCTGGCGGGCGGGCGTGCCGGGGCGGGCCTGGCCTGGCCGGCAGTGCGGCGGGAGGCCAACCAACCAGGCCGACCTGCCTGACCGCCCAACGGTCATTGAAATGACAAAAATATGGCATGAAAAAATGAACGAATGGGGCAAGGGGACAACGAAAAAACGGTTAAAAATTGTTGCCCTGCAGCAGCAACAACAACAACAAAACAACAACAACAACGGACTATAACAATAGCAAGTGCACGCATTAAGGTTTTTTATTTCGCTCTTTTTCGTTTTTCCTTTATTATTTTTTGGGGCCAAATGGGGAAAGCGATGCCGCAGTCGCTGCCGACGACGACGTCGACGCCAACGCCATCAGTCTATGCCAGTTATTACGCTCACAATTTTTTTTCGGTTCCCGCGTGTGTGTGTGTGTGTGTGTGTGTTTGTGTGTGTGGGTGTGCACAGAGAATTTTTCGTAAACGAAAAATAATGAATACATATATATACACAGCGACAACACGCTGGCGTTCAGTTCGCCCTCTCGCACACCCCTTTGGCACATTGCATAGAAAAAAGTAGCGAGAAGAAAGACCAAAAAAATAAATAAAAAAAAGAAATAAACGTAAAAAATGTAAAACGCAGTGGGGAAAAAAAAGCGATCGATATGATGCACTCATTTTCTGTCTGCTGCGCCCGGTGACGACGACGCCGGCGTCGCTGCTGCAGCGCTGACATCTCGACGCTTGACTTGGAGTGGCGATGTCGCCGCCTCATCATCAACAGCAGCGCCAGCCGCAGCAGCAGCATCAGCAGCACCAGCGACAGTATCCTCTATATATATACAAAAAAATCTGTAATAATAAACGCTCGAAAAAGCCAAAATTTGCAGCGTCAGTAGCTTTTGTATTTCAAGTGTTTTTGGCTGAGTCCTTGGGGATGGGCACGAGGATGCATTTGCCAACTATGCATGTATGTGTGTGTATGAGTGTAATTGCGCGTGTGTATGTGTGTGCCTGTTAGCAGAGCCACAAGTACGGCAACTGGACATGTTTGGCAAGCCATTGAGCACTTGCCGATCTGTGGCTTTTAACTTCTTTAGCCTGCTGCAGCAGTTCCTGTCAACTCGCATCCTGCTCTTCCTTGCCATTGTGTGGGTGTGTGTCTTTTTTCTATTCTTCGCATTTTTCGTTGCTTTTTATTACAACAATTAAAATAGGTGCACGATGTTGCAAGGCAGCAGCAACTGCTAACAAACACTTGGCCATGCTTTAGACAATAGACAAGGACTCGTGTTTTGCGGCTCAAGTGGCAGCCACAGCCGTCAACGTGGCCGTTGCCGTTGCCGTTGCTGCCACAGTTGCCACAAAAAAAAAAAAAAAAAAACAACCGAAAAAAAGTAATGACGAAAATTGTGGAAGTGCTGGAAAATTATGCACACGTTGTCGACGCCCCTGACGCTTGTCTCTGTCGTCTGAAGTGCACACACACATACACACACACACACTCGCAATCACAAAACATAAATAATAGGCTAGGTGGTCCTGAACATTTTAGAGTAATTAAAAAAATAGCAGGCAAAAATATAAAGGAGCTAAGATGCAACTCAAACACACACACAGGCACACGTACCCAGCGTGAAATACATAAATTTTGTATTCTTTGCTTGGCTCGCTTTTTTCTCCTTTTTTTTTGGCTGCTCAAATTTGATGCAAATTTATGCGGTTGCAGTACCCCACAGACCGCCCTGCGTCAGTAATTAAGCGTGGCCAACGCAGCGTTGGCTGCGTGCTATGGGGCGTATGTGTAATTTTCGGCATCGTTTCATAAACCGCACTCAAACCACACAGAACAATCACACACATGCACACACACAGCTGCATATGCTCAGAGCAGGCGCATGACACCTACTTATATGTAAACACACACACACACACACATATAGACACGTGCATGTGTAATTGCACGATTTTTACATAGGCGCACAACAATAAAGCTTCCCGAGTGCCACCCAGTAGTCAACCCGCCCCGCAGCCCTATTAAGTATGCTACAATAAATGCAGTGTCAGAGGCGGGCCAGTGCCCAAAGTGCAATTATCTCATGTATTGTCTGCTGGAACGCCCACTTTTTTTTTTGGTTTTCTTTTTTTTTTGTGTATTTTTTATTTATGGTTAAAGTTGGGCATAGCACATTTACTATGAAGCTTGCTTGTCTAACCAAATATCAGCAGCTTTAATTGGGTTGTTTATTTGTCGTGATTGAATATTTTAATTTTTCCTCTAACTCTTAACTGCTTATGGCGCAGGCAAAATAACGCTCTAGTGCAGGGATGCTTGTTTGATTTATTGGTTACAATCTTGAAGAGATTTGCAGCCTATGAGATTATAAATTTATTTGGAGTCCTAAGCAAATGAACGGATTATTTAATTATTTTAACTACCACAGCTCACACTAATATCAGAATAATCATTTCGGATAATTACGAAATGGATGCTATAGTGCCTCAGCCCTAGGCAGCAAATTTATATTTTATCAAATTATTCAACTATTTTTTTGTATTTTTTAAATGTATTTTTCTGTATTGCATTAATATATGTTTATATGTTTATATCCGCATTGTCAGATATATATAAATTAATATATATATATATATTAAATTCATATATAAATGTGAGCTGGTATATAAGAATAAATTGGGGCTAAAATCAAACATACCTGGCTGTCTTGATATCGCCGCTGATCGATGAATTTGGCGATGGCTTGCTGCTTAGATCCAATGGTGCATCTGCACTGGGACTGGGCGTATCCTTGAGTGTGGGACTGCCAGCGGCGGCTGATGATTCCGAGGTAGTTGGTGTTACCGAGTTAGCATGTTGTTGATTGGCCAGCGTGTTCATCAAATTGAAATCGGCCATCATGTTGAACTGTGCCAGCTTGGCGGCCATCGATTCCATTGATGTCATTTCAGCTGCTTGCTGGGTGAGCAGCTTGTAAAGTTCTATAGAAGTTGTTGACGACGACGTCGTGGCGGCGTTAGCGGCGTTGCGTGCTCTATGCTTGTTGATGCTGCTGTTGTTGTTGTTGTTAATGTTGTTGTTATTTCTGCTGCTATTGTGCAGCGATGCGCTCGAATTGCTGTCGCTGTCGTGCTGCATGAGAAAGTTGCGTTAAGTATACGATAATTTGATGTCATATAAAATACAAGTATGGGCAGAGCGAGCGGCTTACCTGGTGCACAGCTGTGCCGTTGTTGTTGTTGCTGTTGCTGGACGCGATTGCCGTTGTTTCGGCCACCAATTCGCCTTTGGCGTTTACCGTTAGCAAGCGACCGTTAACACAGAAATTGCACTTATCAGACGGTGTCCAATCGTTGGGTTCTGGCGGTGGTGATGGTGAGCCTGAGCTACGTGATGTTGCACTTGAGTCGTGGTTTTGTGATGTATGGTTGTTGTCTGCAATTGTATTCAACGCTTGGTTCTTGTCTCTGCTAAGCAGCACAGTTTTTTTCAAACTTACCAAAATCGCTTTCAAATGGCAGCGGTCCGCTGTTGTTGTTGTTGAAATGTTGGCCGTTGGGCTGCGCTAAACGGTGGTTCAGTGGCTCGCGGTGGCTCTGCTTGTGTTTGCTGTCTTCTGCTTCTGTCGTTATTGATATGGGCTGTTGCTCTGCGATATTCAATTGGTTGCGCGTCAGTTGATCTTGATAATGTTTCCATTTCCTGCGACCCATGAATTCCTCAGCGACGCGTTCTAAGCCTGAAAAAACAAAGCAATTTTTATTGTAGTTAAACAAAAAGTGGTGCCACCTGTGTCATGAAATATGCATAAGATGAATAGACTATTATGGATTTTCTAATACAAGTATAATTTGCGCATTTATTCGATTTTTTTTCATTCATTTTGCCGCCCCTAAAGCTTGGGAATTTCTACAGACATAAATTACTTAATTGAAATGTAAGGTACAGAAATTAAATAAAAATAGTAAAAGAAATGGCAGCGGCACACGCTGCGTATGCGTATTATTACGTATACGCCTGGCATTTGGTTTGCGAGCTGCAAATTGATAGATTTGCGTACGTTGTTTGCATACGAGGGGTAAATTTCCTTGCATATCCTTGAGAATGCCGTCTAATTGCCACAAAAGTTATGCAATTTAATGTAAAATGCATAGGCCGCCAACGGAGGCGGCATGGCCACTCCAGTTGTCGTGCATGCGTGCCTCAAAAGCGAAAAAAAAGAAGAAAACTTTTGTGCTTATATGGCAAAAGGTTACGCGTCAACTCACACGAAATGCGAATTAAATATTAAGGCAGGTTGGAGCAGAGAGTGCAACACATGGCGTCTTGCGAAACAGCTGCAAAAGCTGCAAATTTGGTGGCAACATGCGGCAAATACCGCATTTTGTAGCACTTTGTTGCAAGCATTTGCATTTACAAAACGTATACACATTTTCTTCTTCTTTTTCTCAGTGTTTTTTTTGTTTATTTCGTTTTTGTATATTGTTAAACCGGAAGTTGAGCAACATTTTCGCGCTTCAGCCCAGCCCAGGTCAGCCAATGAGTTAGTTATGCGTTGCCCGCTTCATGTCCTTGTCGCTGGCGCGTCCTGATTGCGCAAAAGTGCGTGCAGTGCGTGCGGTGCGTGCGGGGTGCGTGTGTGTTGGCTACCCAAGCTTGCACCTCAAGTGGGCCACAGGCGCCATAGCAGCAACAGCAGTAGCTACTGCTGCTCATAACGGCGCATAAGTAGAACGGCATGTTCAAACTTTTTAGCGTTCAAATTGTATTGCAACTGCAGTTTGCTGTCGCTGGCGTTGTTGTTGCTCTTGTTGTTGTTGTTGTTGTTGTTGCTGCTGCTGCTTCTACCCGTTGCATTTTTGAGGCGCTCAAATAAACAGGGTCGCCGTCGCCGTCCTCGCTTCGGGGGTTGCTGCTGTGGCCGTTGCCGTTGACGTCGCACGCACCAAAAAAGGCGAAAAAAACGAGGTGAATGCACGCGCGGGACTTACGAAACTCAAACTTTAAAGTGCAGCCAGCTCAAACATACACAGACACACACAAACACGCAAACATAGGCGCATAAAAAAGCATTACGCACACTCGCATATACAAGCGAAATTCCAAGGGTTGCTCTCCGCTGGCGCTGCTGCCGCGCGGTTGCATACAATGCGGTGCACGCACGCACGCACAAAATGTCTGCCTGGCCATAGGCATGTGTATGCGTGCGCGTACGCGTAACTGTGTGTGTGTGTGTGAGTGTGCGGGTATGTGTGGTTAAGCGACACACATTGCGTATGCTGACGAAGTCGGCCGCAAGGTGGGATTTCAATGCTGTTGTCGTCTGCCGGAGTAGCGTTTACATTATGGCAAGCAAGCGCCTGAATGTATGCTAAATAGATTTTTCACTGCGTTCTTTTTTTTTCTTCTGTGCACATAGAAAGGTGCATGTCGTCAGTTTTAGACGTTGTCGATAGACAGAGACCTAGGCACACACACAGGCAGACACATACGTACATATAGTATCTATTCAAGGCGACTTGTCAGCTGGATGCCTATAGGCTCCGGCCAGCCAGCCACCTGGTTGCCCCCACCTGCCCAATGGCATGCCGTCTGCCTGACTGTCAGTCTATCTGTCGTTTCTGTTTGTTTGTTCGGTGGCTTGTAGCGCGGTTTGTGGGCGCCCTAAAACTAACAGCGCATCAAAAATGAAAGTGCGTTAAATCAAAGTTAGACGCATATTTAAATGCCTGTTTATGCTGTCCTTTAAAACGTCAGGCCTGGCACGGGGCGTATGATTAATATGAAGTTTGTTAAGGTGAGAGGTACATGCAGTTAAAAAAAACCAATTAAACACGCAAACTCATTTAAAAGGCGGCACACCAGCACACACACACACACACACACACACACACGGAAATGCTATGTGCCATGAGAGACAGGCAGCCAACCCATGAAAACTGGCAAAAGAAATGCACGAAAAAAATGCAATTATCGATTAATGTACACATTATATGGCTCATACTCGCATTTATACATATGTATACATATGTGTGTGTGTGTGTGAGTGTCTTTGGTAGATAATCCCTTATGTATACGTAATTTATATGTACATATATTGTTATATATATACATATATATATATAGCATACGCATACATAGGCGCTACCTTTCGTGGCAGGCATATACAAGTCATATGCAGGCAACAAAAAAAAATATAAAATCAAGCATTTTTTTTGGTTTTTATTTTTAATGCTCATCCTTTAATTTCTGTGGCTGGCTAGGGTGGGGCATGGGGGGCTGGGGTCATGTCCATGTCATTTACGCACGTTACATAAGCAAATTTCAGTAATGATATACATAATGTATATCCATCGATACAAAAAGTGGCTCGGCTGTTGTCGCTGCTGTCGCTATGTGCATTATTCTTGTGGCATGCAACGTGCTGCCGCCTGCCCCCCAAATGTGCGGATACAGCAAGCCTCCCAAGGGGCAGCGTCAACTTATAGCCATGCTGACATGTCGACAACGACAACCTGACATTTTTTACGGCCTTAACGTTGTTTTGGTTTTATTTTGGTTTTTTTACGCTGCATTTGTTTCATGCTTAGTTCGCTTTTTCTCCCATTTTTTTGTTGTGTACTAGTTTAGTTTGGTAATACGAGTGCGTGCCATAATGAAATGTCAAAAGGTGGCGGATATAGATTATTAGACTTCAGAGACAAACACATACGTCGCCTGCGCCAAGCGCTGATTTTGTTGATAAGAGTATATAAGAAAGGTTTTCAATTCTAAGCACGTGCGTTTAAATGTCAACTAATACCAAATGTGGAGAGTATCAAAAATATCGAATTCGACGAAGCTGAAAGTGAATATTTGTATGCACAATTTTTAACAAATCAAGCTTTTTAGGCAAATTTCGTTAGAATTAGAGTTAGAGAAGAGTTAAATATATTAGCCATAATAGGCGAATTGTATATAAACTTTTGGACATGAAATTTTAACATGAAATTTTCAAATTTAAATTAATTTATTATTGCTTTAGGATTGATCTTTACATTAGATCAAACCCAATCAATTTATGCAATTACAAAAAAAAAAATTAATCATCAGATAAATTTATTAAGTTTATTCATAATCATCAGATTTATGATTTAATTTAAGAATTAATTTGTATGCCTTGTATAATTTATTACGTTCATTCTTAAGTATAGGAAATGAAGCACTAATTCCTATATCTTTTACAGGGTATTAAAATTATGTCACGTAATGTGTTACCCATAGAATTGTACATCTTCAACAGGAAGGATACGTATATTTTATCAGCAACAGGTGCTGGATAGATGTCTAACTCCACACCTTCCCCTCCCGCTCCCGCTACACTAAACACACACAAAGATACACGCAATACGTTAACCGAAGAATTTGATTATTGCCGAAAAAGCGGGCAGATTTAAAAAGAAAAATAATAATGTTAAAAAATATATATATATTTTCTAAACCGTATTAAGTCAGAATTGTATATTACATATAGGACATTTTTGACCGATATAAATCATTTCTAAAATTCTAATGAAAAACCCAAAAGCTCAGCTTTTTTTAATAGCTCAGGAAAAACAAATGTTCTCCCGTGTAAAACTTTATTAAGCTAAAAATAAAATAGGTACATGACAAAAATAAACTAAAAACTTGGCATTACATATAATTTTTGTGAAATGCTTGGCTGTTGTTGTTGTTGCTGTGGGTTTAACACACGCCATCGCATTTTGCATAGCATTTTAAGTAATGTCGAATGTCAACGTACTTGCAACAGCTTTAGCGGGTGGATTGAGGTAGAGGAGGCAGTTAGTTAGTTAAAGGACACCGTCATACCTTTTAATGTTCCCTTGGCGTCACATGTCCTGACAACAACAACAAATTGGTTTAAAACTACAGGAGCAGCAAGCCAAGACAGAGATAGAGAGAGAGAGGAACGAGCGGGAGAGAAAGAGAGAGCGAGAAGGTCCGAATAATACAAAAACAGGCAAGTTTCAAAAGCCAAAAGTAAAGCAAAGAAATGAGTTTCGTGAAAATAACAAAAACAACAGAAACGGCGGCTGAAAGAACGGAACGAAATGAAAGGAACTAAACGAGAAACTAAAAACGATGAACTGCGAACTGTGAACTGCTGGCGACGCGTCGTGCGGCCGTGCGTTTTAGGGGCTTGTTAAATGTTGTGTGCAATGAAAAGGACATGCGATTTGCGGCCGCGGGCCGTGTCTATGTGAGTGTGTATGTGCGCGTATAGCATGTGACAAGCCTGCCTGTGCTTGTATTTGTATGTATTTAAAACGCTTTTGGCCGAATTCTCCAGCTCGCATGGCAATGCAAAGCGGCAGCGTTGAAATGTAAATGAATTGCACGAAATGCAAGGACATACGCAGCTAAAACTAAAGCTAGTGTTACACACACACACATACACGCACACACACACACAGCTGGGATGCAAGCGGTGCTGTCAGTAAACGGGCCCAAGTATCCGCTCTATGCCCCATGTGCAACCCTTGCAACTGCACAACTATAAGCTGCTCCAACCTACCTTAAAAAACGAAATCAAAAAAAGAAAAAGACTTGTCAATTTACATACTGACAACATCAATACACACACACACTCACACACACACACATGCACAGCTGCAGTTGTGTGTGCGTTTTTGTGCTTAGAACTTTTTTGTGTGTCACTTTGGCATAGAAATTGTCGTCGTCATCGTTGTTGCCGTT